CGCCTGAATCTCATCTGGTGTCAATAAATCTAAAAAAATTAATTTCATATAAATTTTAGAATTATACTTTGTCACTACTTCTTTATTGCTGCTGTATGTTCAAAATTATAATTTTATATTTGGTTAATTTTAAACAAAACAAACAATAAATCTACTTTGCACTTAAAAAATAACTAAGTTACTTTTTTTTTGTTAAAAAGTCATATAATTTAAAAATGTACATTCCAAAATGTTTTAAACAACTTTAAATTAAATAATAAAATAGTAAACAAACATTTACATGCACTCTGTGCATTTAAACCATAATAACTCAGCTTACTAATGTTTAGTTTTTGTTAAACTATTGTACAATGTTCTAATATAATTTTAGAACAAATTAATTGAGTAAAAAAACAAATAATTAACATACTTATGCATTTAAACGATAATTACTCATTAACTCACTTGTATCATATTACAATAATTTAAACATAGGGGACGAAGTTACACAAATGTGTACCTAATTATAATTCTTGGTACAGCTTTTCAATAAAACATTTTTACAAACAAAACTATTCTAAAAAGGTGTTGAAAGATTAACTTAATTAAAAATAATTTTATTGGATCTATAAATAATATTTCAAATACTGAAAATTACGTTTTCGAGGAAGCGAAGAAGTCGCCAATTTGCGAAAATCACTTTTGTAAACAAACATTTCTTGAGGAAAACGGTGTCTGTGATGCCATCTATGATATTCATTACAGAGCTCAGACATCCACAATTGTGGATATCAGGTCGAAATTACAAATTTTTCCAACAGAGAGTTTTACAAACAAGGATTATGAGGTTCACATATGTGAACCGTCGGAGTGATGAGGCTATTACCATAGTCAAAATATCCTCAAACCTAGTTTCCAAACCTGAAAAGAGGGCATTTAAATGTTGAACGTAGGTTGAAACGTCTTCTTCCTGGCAGTTTGTTTGTGAAAAATTGGGGAACTGGAAAAATTCGCCCCGTCCAATGTTTCGCTTCATTAGCTTAATTCTAGCTACAAACGCTGATATGATGGACTTTGTTTTAATCAAATTTAGACTGTCACCTTGTAACTGCAAGTTAACCATATTAAATTTAGTAAACAAATCTGTTAAATAGACAATGTCTGTTTTCCTCTTCATTAAATTTTCGTTTAAAATTTTATCTTTAGCATCCAGAAGTTCTAAAATAGTCTCAAAAAGTGCAAAAAATCTTGTCAAACATAAGCCTTTCGACAGCCAGCGTACTTCAGTGTAAAGGAGTAATTTATGAAAGTTCTCGTCATTTTACTCACACAACTGCGCAAATAACAGCGTATTCAACGCGTTGCTTCGGATTCGGTTTACTGTATGAATGACTAATTGAACCAAACCTTTCTTTTAATAGTTTAACAGCTTTTCCATAATTTTCCTCAGAAAGCGAAAACCCATTAACAACATTAGCTGCAGCACCTCCTAAAAGTGATTTTAAATACGAGAATTTGTCTATTACAGATAATGTTTCATTTTTATCAATTGTACTTTGAAATCGATTCCAGAATTCAATCCAAACACACGGATCTCAATAATATTTTTCTATCGTTAATTTAGAAAGCTTAACATTCTTATTTATTTTCCGACTCACAAATTCAGTGGCTACAGTATTGTTGGAATGTTCTTGTGCTTGAATTAAATTTACTCTATCATAATTATTAGCAGTTGCATTACGACGAATGGATTTTATCTTAGAAGAAATTTTCGAATTCCATAAAATAATTTTCTGTCTACATTCAATTGCTGGTTCAATTTCTGCATCAAAATCTTTTTCATCTACAATTAGAGATTGTAAAGTATTATCTAAATCATTTATTTGTTTTAATCTAGTTAAGTAATCTAAGTGTTGTTCCAGTTGAGTATCAGTATTTATTTCATTAAATTCTTGTTCTAGTTTATTAATATATTTTGTTATGCTAGCACGCATAACGCCTCTAAGTTTTCTTTGCTTAGTTAATTCTTCCATATTTGAAAAATTCTCGTATACACAAATAATCAAATTTATAATTTGTATGATGCTTCAATATTTAGTAAATATGTAAACGAAATACTGCATCACACAATCAATGAATTCTGCAAAACAACTGAGGATTAAAATTCGGTTCTTCCATGATTTGAGCAGTGCGCATGTTACTATTGGCAACCAGAGTTAGAAAGAGAAAAATATTGGCAGGAACCCCCCTTGAAACACGGAGGGGTTTCGAAATTAATGAATTTAGTTAAACATAATAAGTATCTTCAATTGACAATAAAGTACACTTCTAAATTAATGAAATTAAGCAACTGGATTGACAGATGAATAGATGACTTCTACAATGATAGAAGAAAAATTAGGCATAATTACAAATGTTCAAGTGTTTATAAGAAGTGGACACAGTTTTGCAATTGGTCTCACAAGTTCACCAGAGTGAGTTTTTACCTTGACCACACGAACTTTATCGTCTTTACCAGGGAACGTTTCCGTGACCTTCCCTAACTTCTACTGTAGTGTAGAGGGGGTAGGGTCTTTTGAACATATTTGCAAACTTAAATTCTTTTCTGGTGGTACTGTGCTCACAGAATCAACAAATACACTTAATTCATCTTCTGGAACTTTCATTTCATGAACGTACTTTGAATTCTGGGGGCACCTAGCTGCAAAATGATTCTTCATTTTACATCTGGCACAAATTTTTCCGAATGCTGGACACTCGCGAGGTTTATGTTTTCTTCCTCACTTCTTGCAATCATACTCTTGTGGTGACTGTTTCAACTGATGATGCTCACGATGTTTCTTTAAACTATTAACAGACACTGTGTTTTCATGTTTCGGAGTTGTTTTCTACTACTTTCGGCTGCACGAGCGATTTCTATCGCCTCGAAGCAGGCGTTCTTTCAAACCACTGCCTCTTATTCCTAGGACGATGCTGTCACGAATTAGTCCATTTTCTTGATCGGCAAATTCACAGGTTGAAGCTAAAGTTTTAAGTTGAGTTATGTAGCATTCTATTGTTTGTCCCTCTTGCTGGACGCGCGAAAAAAAAATTATAACGTTCATACACGACATTCTGCCGTGGTGAAAAATAATCCTCAAACTTTTTAAGGACATCTGGATACCTTTCTTTGCTTTCAGGAGACTCAAATTTGAAAATGTTGAATATTTCAAATCCTTCACTTCCAAGTAAATTCAGCAGGATTGCGATTTTTATTTTATCTGCACGTTCATATTTTTCTGTGGCAAGCAGATAATTATCCAACTCTTGTTTCGATTTTCTCCATTTCTCTTTATTATTTCCACTGGAGAACTTCAAAGGACCAGGTGGTCGGAACGCATCCATGGCAACGTATACTCGAAAACGTGGATTAGACTCTATGATGGAAATCCGATTTCATCAATTTTCTTTCTGACACCATGTCATGTTGTTATTTAAGTCTAATAGAACACAAATACATAGTTCTTTCATATTCAGTTGTTATTTACAGTGAGATACAACTTCTAGATTAACTTAGTTCAACTTTAAAACAACATCTCTTCATCTTCACAGCCATTGCAACCCACAATGTTTATAGAAAAACAACAATCCATCAATGTTGGTGCTGTTGCCAACATCACAGCGACTTATAATGTATACGATTACGATACAATGGGATTGATGTGAGTTAAATGATGTGAGTTAGTTGATGTGAGAAAATTGCTAATATTTTTTTATAATGTTAAAATAACTTTTATGGGCACATCAGAAATTTTCATCAATTCGATAATTATTGAAAGGTGTTATGTTCTATTAAACTAACTATCTTTGCAAAAAATTTACATAACATTTTAATTTCAAAACTGTCAGTAAATATTATGTGTTATCTAAATTAAATTTGCACAAACATATAATTGCATACAAGAATGAGACGAAAAATTAATAACATTTTTTACATTATCTTTTAAAAGTTGCCTTTAGTATAAATGATCAAAATTTGACTACAATCAACTACTCTTTTGAGAAAGTTACTATAACAAAATAGATTTTTGATTAAGACTATTCCATTCCTCGTTTTTCTCTGATTATATGGTATGCGTTATGAAGAATTAGCCTTAAAAAACATATATTATGCATTTAAAAAAGTTACTCTTGCAAAGAACCTTATATATAAAAATTTAAACCAGATTCTTCTCTAAGTGGATTTAAATTTTTTGTTTTTACAATAATGTAAATAAATGTTTTGTTAAATTTTAAATATTAAGCCAAAGAAATTTCTACTATTATCATTATTTTAAAATTACATTAATTTAAACATCATAAAATTATATACACATTTCTTATCTCATATTTGAACTACAAAATTGAAGTAATAAATACAATGGTAGTAGTATAATTGCTCATACGTTAAAGTCAATGTTTAGCAATGATGTTAAAATAAAATTGCTTCTGATATCTTCAAAATTTCTTGAATTTTCATAATACTTAAACATAACTATAATGACTAGAATAAATTACACAATGCAGTAGTTAAGAATAAAAAAATAAATCAAATCAAATCATGACAAACATTTCACTACTTAATTATTTTATTTTAAAACAAAACACAATATAAATATAACTTCACTAAACTATAAAAGCAATACATTCTTACCATCATTGTTTAATATAAGCTTATCGATATTCTTTTGTTAAAATATAAGTTAAGAACACGTACATATTTGTAATTAAATAAAATAATTTTTATTTCAAAAAGCAACAGTTGGACCATGAGTTATCATTTTAATTATTATTATTTTTAAATTAAAAAAAATTCCAAAACTTTACAGTCATTTCATACAGTTTAAAGTTTTTCTTCAATTCAATTTTTTGTTTTTGTGCAACTGAACTATATTTCAGACCAATAAACTGAAAATCTTTGCTTTATTGAAAGATTTTATAACATGGTCAGCAACATTTGTGCATATCACACAAACACACAGCAGGGATGAATAGCACAGGGATGCACCTTTCTTCAAACTTTCAGCTCCGGCAGATTTAAAGAGAACCTCCAATCGTTTTGTTTTCTGTCAGGATCGCAGCAATCACACATGACTTTACCGTCTGGTAAGGCACCAAGAAAGCAAAAGTTTGAATCGATCCGAAGCCCTGTTCTACAGTATTGAAAGCTTTCGTGCTTTATAGATTCATATTTTATGAAAGCTGATATAGCTTTCCGTTCATTTTCAACACCCCATCGTGTTGCCTTAGAGCTGAATGGCTTGTCAATTTGCAATATATTTCTCACAATACCAGCCTGTCCAGTTCGACAGTGAACCACTCTATGAAACATAGAAGAGGTGATGCGTCCCATTCTGTGATGCATCCAGGTACTAGACATACCCTGATTACGGGTCTCCTCTTCTATGTTATCACAGTCCACACGGATTGATTCAAGCTGCTTCATAACAACTTCAACCTTTGGTTTGCTAGATAAGGGAGTTGATAAAGGATATAATTTTTGAACTAAATCAATCATATTTGGTGCTAATGGCGAGTCCATTTCAACATCACTACTTGCACTCTGCGTGTCTTCACTTAAAACAGGTGCATCCGGATGGCTTTCCTAAACGGAAGAAAAATATAATAATAGACAACGAAATAAATAAAAACAGAAAATAATAAGCAATATAATTGCATTGAATGTGAAATTATATAATTGATATAATTATAACACTTTTATAAAAGTGAAGAATTTCATATATGCCTCTTCAGATGGTTAATGCCATGTTAATTTCATTCGTTTTTGATTTTGACCCTCTATTTTTATGGCTGAAAAAATACATAAATTTTCTTCTAATTTCCAATTTTTTCTTTTNAAACTAAATCTGGTGTTGCCACCGGAAGTAAGGAATTTTGAAAACCGAAACTAAGTTGAGTGTTGCCACCGGAAGCAAGGAATTTTGGAAACCGAAACCAAAACTAAAGCAGGAGATGAACAACTCAACAAGCAGGAGGGAAACAACTCAACTCAACTCGGATCCGCAGCAGGAGGGAAACAACTCAACTCGATCCGCGATCCGCTGGCCCAGCTCTCTCCTTTTCTACCTACTTACGGGTCTCCTCTTCTATGTTATCACAGTCCACACGGATTGATTCAAGCTGCTTCATAACAACTTCAACTTTTTGTTTGCTAGATAAGGGAGTTGATAAAGGATATAATTTTTGAACTAAATCAATCATATTTGGTGCTAATGGCGAGTCCATTTCAACATCACTACTTGCACTCTGCGTGTCTTCACTATCTGTAAACAGAGTTGAAACAGGTGCATCCGGATGGCTTTCCTAAACGGAAGAAAAATATAATAATAGACAACGAAATAAATAAAAACAGAAAATAATAACAATATAATTGCATTGAATGTGAAATTATATAATTGATATAATTATAACACTTTTATAAAAGTGAAGAATTTCATATATGCCTCTTCAGATGGTAATACCATGTTAATTTCATTCGTTTTTGATTTTGACCCTCTATTTTTATGGCTGAAGTTTATATCCACAGCTGGAATGATCTCCACCGAAAAGAATGATCCAAATTTAGAATACAATGTTTTGATATAACTTGATTTACTATTCAATCGATAACTACAATAAATAAAAATATGCGTCCATACATTAAGACATGTTAGAAGAGTAACTCATTATTCAAGCATTTCTCAACTAAATGAGGTCGTGTTGTGCATTAAACTTATAAACCAAATTTTATTAAAAAAGAAACACATTAGGCTTAAATATTCTTCTATACCATAAAGTTTAAGTTGATCTATTCAATTTGGTTTTTTTTTTTTAAATAAAAAATACATAAATTTTCTTCTAATTTCCAATTTTTTCTTTTATAAGGAATTACTGCACAACATTATATACTTTGTTTCACTTTTTGTTTAAAGATTTATTTACAATGTTAAATTTAAATACACCTAAAAAATTTAAAAATAAATTTTTCATTATATAATATTTTAAATGTCTACAGACATAATTCAAAATTATCAGACATAATTTTTAGAATTTATAAACATGAACATTTTTGCAAATTAAAATAATTAACAAATTAAGATAAGTTCTTCATAAAAAAAATAAATCTGGCCACATTAAAAAAAAATCTGAAATTAATAATTCAATAGTTTAATTACAGAACAATAACATAATCCAAGTTCTATGGCAAAATGAATACCTTTTTAGCTGATTTTTTCCCCATACAAGGCAGTGACGTACATGCTGGGTCATTAACACCTTCCTTGATAGCAGCTTCAATTGTGAAGAAAAGTGCAGCATCGTGAGAACATGTTTCGCCGAGCCTAACAAGGTGAGAAATGATTTGATGCTGTTGCTTTCAATCACAAGAAACATTATAATTCGGTAGTTATTCAACTTTTTAAACATTAAATAAGTTAAAAATCAACAAGCCTATCTTAAAAAAAAATGACTTAAAAAATATTATTACCCAGCTTTACAAGAACAATGAGCACTAAGTATACTGCCACTACATTCAATAGCAGCCCATGGTAAATGGAATTTACCAAGAGTTTGGCTAGCTTGTACACAGCAAGTAACCACACAAACTTGCAAAAGATCATTTCTATAAAGTTTTAAATCAAACACTTTACCATTTAAAAGAAAATTATATGCTTCTAAAGATTTATAATTTTTTAAACATTCAGGTGCATAAGCATTTTTAGACATAACCAGGTACATAAAAAGGTCACCAAAAGACAAATTAGGCAATTTCTTCCCATCAAAACACATTTTTCCTGACATCTTCATCAATTGGACCAGGGTGAATCTCCCCTTTAATCGTCAATTTCTCTTGATACCTTCTACCGGCATCTCTATCTAAAGTTCGAAAATACAAACTACTCATCTAAAAAAAATTAGGAAGAATCAATAACAAATTTATGTAAATGTAGAAAATAAAATCACAAAAAATGCAGATGAGAATATATATGTTATTCTAATATTGCTATAGAATAGGGATGCACAACCTGTTATCCGAGGGCCAAATGCAACCCACAGACTGTTGATGTGCGGCCCATTGGAGCTTTTGCTTACAATATTAATATTAATAAATATATAAGTTTTTATATTTTATAGTATTGAATTATATGAAAACAAGTTTTAAGTTTACTGTAAAGTATATGGTACTTAACACTAATTTTTAAATGAAAATAATCATATTTCACTAAATATGTAATTATGAATATAACACTAAATATGCATGTGGCCCGTCATTAGTTTGCATGCTTTAACATGTGGCCTTTCATTCAAAAAGGTTGTGCACTCCTACTATAGTATATACAATTTAAACTAGCAAGACAAAATATAAATGTTTTTCAGCATATTCTAATAACAATAACTAATTAGATAATTTTATGAAGTTGGTGGTTCTCAGTTATCTAATAAAATTTGTAGAATTAATTATAAATAAGTAATTTCTCAATATTTATCTGATCTTTAGGTTACGTGAAAAAAAATGAAATATGTTTGATTTAAAGACCAACAGAATTAAAGACAAAATATATTCTGAGAATTTAATATTTTTTAAGTGTTTAATCAGCAACTGGAATCATTACAATTTAAATATAATATATAAAAAAAACATATGACAATGAAAATGTTTTAAAACAATCTAAAGAAATTGAAAAATTAAGTATATTAATATAAAGAAAATTTACTTCAGCTAACATCGGCTAAGGCAAAACTTTAGATTGTTAATCACAAAATATTTTAAAATTTCAAATGAATCACTTTTAATAAACTCAAAAACAATTCTTTCTGCAAGACCACATATTAAAATCACAAATCTAACATTGAATAACTGTATTAACAAAATCAGGCTTTAAAAAAAACGATTTTAAAAATATCTTTTTAAGTTAGCCTAATTAGAAAATATTCTTCACTTATAGCCAGTTTGCATGTTGTTCTTTGTAAGAAGAGGATATAATTCAGATTTTGATAAATAAAGGCATTTAAACAAAGCTTACCTTGATTTATCATGCTTTTATTGAAATAATTTTGTAACTAAAAAGCTACATTTCTTTAGCAATTAAGGAGAGCAATACAATTCGGAAGAAGATTTTGAGTTTCTTTAATAATCTCATTTAATAATTTTTAATGACGATTTACACCTGGCCTTAAAAGCTTCTACTTCTTAAAAAATAAAATCAAACTTATAGTTTCATTGAGAAAATTTTTTTTAGTGCAACTTAAAAACTTTAAAATTGGTTCCAGAAACAGTAATATTAAAATAAGCTATCTGTAAGAAGTAGTGTAAGCCTACAACAATAAGACAAATCGCGAATTAATGATATTAAATTTGAAATTAAAATATTCTAATTAACAGTACATGATCAATGTTAAAAATTATTTGTAAAAAAATACCGACCTTAAACAACTATGATCAAAGCTGAAATTGATAATGCTGAAGTTTAAAGGCTGAAAGAAAGAACTCGGTACATGTGAAATACAGTAAAAGATATGATGCAATAATATGATTTTTCAATCTGCGGCGTAAAAATATATCGGAAGCAGTAACCCGGAAGTCTTGCGAAAAGCAATTTAACCACTAGCGCCACCACCTTTAGCTTTACACGATCACCCATCCATATATACTCGTATATAAACTCATGTTTATGAAAATTGCAACACAACGGACCGTACGGCTCCCTCTAGACTACTAGCAGCACGGTGGTCAGTAGCTACAGGTGTTTCATTGTGTGCTATATCAATTCGTAGACGTCTGCTGCAGCGTGGACTGCGCGCAAGGACTCCTTTATACAGGATCCCCCTTACGCTAAACCTTCGCAGCCTGCGGCTGCAGTGGGCCAACTAGCATAGGGACTGGCTTGCTGATTGGCAGCGTCTCGTGTTAATCTCGAGTCACCACCTAACTCACTCATTAAATCATCGATTATAATTAAAGTATCAGTTAATTTATTTATATTGGAAGGAATTCCTTCGTTAAATATAACTCCCGGTATCTTCGTATAAAGATTTTGAAACACTCCATAGCACCAAATTGTATTTTTAGGAAAAGGATTTATCATTCTATAATTAATGAGCTTCTTCACAAATTCAGATTTCCCACACCCAGTTGGGCCCGCAACGATCATTGTGAAAGGCGACTTTAACTTTATCGTATCCATCTCACTTAAAAATATTTCGCTTTTTCAATTAGAAAATATACCAACATTACTAATATTAGACTAAATAAAATAATTTTAAAAATAAAACTGGGAAAATATTAAAAGAAAACATGAATAAACAGAACAACCAATTTCAGACAGTTAAAGATTTTTTAATGTTTGATATAAAAATATAAAGCTATACATTTTCAATGGCATAGTGCCCAAA